AATAGATTCATATTAATGCACACCACTACAAATGACCTAATCTGAGGAAAAATAGAAATCGATTACACCCTATCACTCGAGTGGGTCTAAACTGACCGTATGCTGAAAGAAAGGAAACTAAAGCGGTTGTTTCAATTAATATGCACAAGGGTGTATATAATGCTTTGTAAATACCTTTATGAGTACATTACAGAAACTATAGACGAAAATAGATTCATATTACTGCACACCACTGCAAATGACCTAATCTGAGGAAAAATAGAAATCGATTAAACCCTGTCACTCCAGTGGGTCTAAAACTGACCGTATGGTGAAAGAAAGGAAACTAAAGCGTTTGTTTCAATTCATTTGCACAAGGGTTTATATAATGCTTTTGTATATACCTTATGAGTATATTACAGAAACTATAGACGAAAATAGATTCATACTACTGCACACCACTGCAAATGACCTAATCTGAGGAAAAATAGAAATCGATTACACCCTGTCACTCAAGTGGGTCTAAAACTGACCGTATGGTGAAAGAAAGGAAACTAAAGCGGTTGTTTCAATTAATTTGCACAAGGGTTTATATAATACTTTTGTAAATACCTTATGAGTACATTACAGAAACTATAGACGAAAATAGATTCATACTACTGCACACCACTGCAAATGACCTAATCTGAGGAAAAATAGAAATCGATTACACCCTGTCACTCAAGTGGGTCTAAAACTGACCGTATGTTGAAAGAAAGGAAACAAAAGCGATTGTTTCAATTAATTTGCACAAGGGTTTATATAATACTTTTGTAAATACCTTATGAGTACATTACAGAAACTATAGACGAAAATAGATTCATACTACTGCACACCACTGCAAATGACCTAATCTGAGGAAAAATAGAAATCGCTTACACCCTGTCACTCCAGTGGGTCTAAAACTGACCGTATGGTGAAAGAAAGGAAACTAAAGAGGTTGTTTCAATTAATTTGCACAATAGTTTATATAATGCTTTTGTAAATACTTTATGAGTACATTATAGGAACTATAGACGAAAATAGATTCATATTACTGCACACCACTGCAAATGACCTAATCTGTGGAAAAATAGAAATCGATTACACACTGTCACTTCAGTGGGTCTAAAAATGACCGTATGGTGAAAGAAAGGAAACTACAGCGGTTGTTTCAATTAATTTTCACAAGGGTTTATATAATGCTTTTGTAAATACCTTATGAGTACATTACAGAAACTTTAGACGAAAATAGATTCATATTACTGCACACCACTGCAGATGACCTAATCTGAGGAAAAATAGGAATCGCTTACACCCTGTCAGTCCAGTGGGTCTAAAACTGACCGTATGGTGAAAGAAAGGAAACTAAAGAGGTTGTTTCAATTAATTTGCACAATAGTTTATATAATGCTTTTGTAAATACTTTATGAGTACATTATAGGAACTATAGACGAAAATAGATTCATACTACTGCACACCACTGCAAATGACCTAATCTGTGGAAAAATAGAAATCGATTACACACTGTCACTTCAGTGGGTCTAAAAATGACCGTATGGTGAAAGAAAGGAAACTAAAGAGGTTGTTTCAATTAATTTGCACAAAGGTTTATATAATGCTTTTGTAAATACCTTATGAGTACATTACAGAAATTATACACCAAAATAGATTCATATTACTGCACATCACTGTACCATTATTGTTCAACGACGTTACTATAGTTGTATCTGCGTTTACAAAGTCTCTACTACAAGGAGCATTACGAAAGTGACAACGTGTATTCTTTGGCATCACCAAACATGTGTGACATATAGGCATATATCTGAATAAAAAGTAAATTTGAGAACCATTCCTATTTTTAATTCCTTTCTCTCAGTTTTTCTGTTCTCTCGATTGAAACATAAAGGACACTACCGACGTGTCCGTTTTTCTCGTTTGAAAGTATTTCATGTAAGATCCTCCATCATTTGACCCTTTTCTCTCTGCTTGTTGTATTCATATGTTATAAGTTTTCTGAGGGATATGTAAGAATATATCGGTATGAAAATACCTTTGAGAACCATGCATATTGGTCATTTGTTTCTTTCAGCTTTTCTTTCCTCTCTGTGTATTAATGTATCACTTTGTAACGAATATAATAATGCGTGTAATGGCGAAATGCAACTTGAAATTTCCCTTCTTGCATAGCATCCTCATTAAAACTACAAAAATATTTGTCATTTGTTTCTTTCAGCTATTCTCTTGTCACTCTATTACGGTGTTACGACATCACGGATATGATAATGCCTTTAATGGAGAATTACAAACTTGAAATTTTCCTTCTTGCATAAGATCTGTATTAATATCATTAAAAGCAAAAAAAATTCAAATGAAAATGAACAGGTCAAATTCATACCCTTTAAAATACGTAAGGGTAAACCGGAAGTGAAGGAGAAGAAGAAGACATTAGAAGGAACCGGAGACCGCGTCCTAGACGGTAAACAAGGGATAAACCTTTACTCCTGTTCAAAAAACCGGAGAGGAGTGTAAACCGGACGATAGGCGAATCTATCTACTCTTATTGAGGAGGAAATTGAGAATAAAATAAATAATAAATAAGATGTTAATGTTTAGGTGGAGACTTAGAAGTATAGACTTGAAGTAGACTTTAGAATAAACCGGAAACCCGATCCGAAACAGGAAATAAACGTCTCCTGTTCAAAAGACCTGCAGCTGTAGATTTTCGAAAATCTGGGACAAGAAAGGCATGATTCGCTCAGACTTGATTGGCAACGCCTTTCGTTACTGGGCCGGCCCCAAAAATCCATTACTTCTTTATAAATTGCTTTGTTTACATTCGGATACGAAACTGGGCAGCTGTAAACTTTCGAAAATCTGGGACGAGAATTGCACTCAAAAGTCATGATTGGACTTACTTGATTGGCACGCGCCTTTCGTTGCTGGGCCAGTCCAAAATATCCATTACTTCTTTATAAATTGCTTTATTTACGCTATCTAGATTCTTCCGTCTCTGTAGAATTAAGATATTCAACGACTTCTGTAGCATTTATCGATCGCTGGACCTATTGAAAATATTTAAGGACTAGTGGTATGTCACCTGAATCAACCTGTGACCCACCAACAACTTTGTATGAAGACAACAGGTAAAGGAAAAGTGAAAATTATACCGATATCTTCCTCTATTTTTCGTATCCCTTTGAGGCGTGGACAATCATGACTCTCCACAACTTCCTATCCCTTGTACCTCTTAGCAATGTTTATGTATTTACTATATCTCCTATCCTCTATTCTACCATCCATTTATATAAGACCGTTAGGAATTTTATTCAATGCTTTCGTTTGTCTCTGTTGATCTGGGTATGTTTTGTGGGTGTCAAACTCTCCAAGCACTCTTTCTTCGTTACGTTTCTAGTGTCTCTTTCTGATTGTAAGTATTTAAGCCTCCGTATTGTTTCGATTTTCCTTAAAATGTCCTCGTTGCTTACATGCTCTTGCCCATGGTATCCCCACTATCCTTTTGTTGATTGTGTACAGGCGCTACACAATCCCAAACAGAAAAAAGCTGAGCCAACTAAGAGAAACCACATCACTTGAGGATTAACAACAGCAGACGAACTCAAATTACTATCACATATAGATCAAAGAGAAAATACTCGAGTTTCTGACATTCCACAAAACCTCAAACAAAAGGGTAGGAAGGAAACCCACATCAATAATGAAAAGAGCGGTAAAAACAACTAAACGTTAGAAATCTATTCTTCTGAAAAATTGTTTTAAGAGTGTTGTGGTAAACCCTCCTACAGTCGAATGAACTCTTCCTCCTCTCATAAATACGAACTGCGAGAGTCGGGTACAGTGAGTGGAGTGGAGTAGTAGACGCAGTGCTAATCTACTTATTACTAACACTATTGTTTTGTATATATCTCAATATACTTGTTCACCCCTACCTTCGTCTTCCGTGTCTTTCTTTCTGGCACTTAAACAGGCCACAACAGAAAGAAAGAAAGAAAGAAAGAAAGAAAGAAAGAAAGAAAGAAAGAAAGAAAAGGTTCTGTAAAGAAAGAAAGAAAAAAGAAAGAAGGAAAGACAGAAAGAAAAGGTTGTGGAAAGTTAGAAAGAAAGAAAGAAAGAAAGAAAGAAAGAAAGAAAGAAAGAAAGAAAGGATTGTGTAAAAAATGAACGAAAGGGTTAGGGTTAAGGATAATGCAAAGAAAGAAAGAAAGAAAGAAAGAAAGAAAGAAAGAAAGAAAGAAAGAAAGAGAGAAAGAATTATGTCAATCAAAGTATTATCTGTAGAAAATGAAAGAAAAAGAAAGGAAAACATGTAGAAAGAAAGTAGGAACGAAAGAAAAAAGGCTTTTATAAAGAAAGGACAATAGACAGAAAGAAGTGTTGTATAAATAAAAAAGAAACAATCAAAAGAAGGATAGTGGAAAGAAAGAAAGAAAGAAAGAAAGAAAGAAAGAAAGAAAGAAAGAAAAGGTTCTGTAAAGAAAGAAAGAAAAAAGAAAGAAGGAAAGACAGAAAGAAAAGGTTGTGGAAAGTTAGAAAGAAAGAAAGAAAGAAAGAAAGAAAGAAAGAAAGAAAGAAAGGATTGTGTAAAAAATGAACGAAAGGGTTAGGGTTAAGGATAATGCAAAGAAAGAAAGAAAGAAAGAAAGAAAGAAAAAAGAAAGAAAGAGAGAAAGAATTATGTCAATCAAAGTATTATCTGTAGAAAACGAAAGAAAAAGAAAGGAAAACATGTAGAAAGAAAGTAGGAACGGAAGAAAAAAGGCTTTTATAAAGAAAGGACAATAGACAGAAAGAAGTGTTGTATAAATAAAAAAGAAACAATCAAAAGAAGGATAGTGGAAAGAAAGAAAGAAAGAAAGAAAGAAAGAAAAGGTTCTGTAAAGAAAGAAAGAAAAAAGAAAGAAAGAAAGAAAGAAAGAAAGAAAGAAAGAAAGAAAGAAAGAAAGAAGAAAGAAGGAAAGACAGAAAGAAAAGGTTGTGGAAAGTTAGAAAGAAAGAAAGAAAGAAAGAAAGAAAGAAAGAAAGAAAGGATTGTGTAAAAAATGAACGAAAGGGTTAGGGGTTAAGGATAATGCAAAAAGAAAGAAAGAAAGAAAGAAAGAAAGAAAGAAAGAAAGAAAGAAAAAAGGTTCTGTAAAGAAAAAGAAAAGAAAAAAAAAGAAGGAAAGACAGAAAGAAAAAAGTTGTGGAAAGAAAGAAAAAAAAGAAAGAAAGAAAGAAAGAAAAGAAAGAAAAAGAAAGAAAGAAAGAAAAGAGAAGAAAAAGAAAAATTGTAAAAAATGAACGAAAGGGTTAGGGTTAAGGATAATGCAAAGAAAAAAAAAAAAGAAAGAAAGAAAGAAAGAAAGAAAGAAAGAAAAAGTTATGTCAATCAAAGTATTATCTGTAGAAAAAAAAAGAAAAGAAAGGAAAACAACATGTAGAAAGAAAGTAGGAACGGAAGAAAAAAAAATGTTTTTTATAAAAGAAAGGACAATAGACAGAAAGAAGTGTTGTATAAATAAAAAAGAAACAATCAAAAGAAGGATAGTGGAAAGAAAGAAAGAAAGAAAGAAAGAAAGAAAGAAAGAAAGAAAGAAAAAGAAAGAAAAGGTTCTGTAAAGAAAGAAAGAAAAAAACATGTAGAAAGAAGGAAAGACAGAAAAAAGAAAAGGTTGTGGAAAGTTAGAAAGAAAGAAAGAAAGAAAGAAAGAAAGAAAGAAAGAAAGAAAAAAGAAAGGATTGTGTAAAAAAAGAACGAAAAAGTTAGGGTTAAGGATAATGCAAAGAAAGAAAGAAAGAAAGAAAGAAAGAAAGAGAGAAAGAATTATGTCAATCAAAGTATTATCTGTAGAAAATGAAAGAAAAAGAAAGAAAAACATGTAGAAAAAAAGTAGGAACGGAAGAAAAAAGGCTTTTATAAAGAAAGAACAATAGACAGAAAGAAGTGTTGTATGAATAAAAAAGAAACAATCAAAAGAAGGATAGTGGAAAGAAAGAAAGAAAGAAAGAAAGAAAGAAAGAAAGAAAGAAAGAAAGAAAGAAAGATAGAAAGAAAAAAGAAAGAAAGAAAGAAAGAAAGAAAGAAAGTATTGTTGTAAACCCTTCTACAGTCGAATGAACTCTTCCTCCTCTCATAAATACAAACTGCGAGAGTCGGATGAGAAGAGTGTGGAGTGGAGTAGTAGACATAGTGTTAATCTACTTATTACTAACACTATTGTTTTGTATATATCTTCAATATACTTGTTCACCCCTACCTTCGTCTTCCGTGTCTTACTTTCTGGCCCTTAAACAGGCCACAACAGAAAGAAAGATTTTATAAAATTCAAGTGGAAGAAGTATTAGCTACTCAGTTAATAAATACCTAATGTTTCCTTATAAGGAAACGGCTTATATTATTATGACCAATCTGTAGAATTTCATTTATTTTGCCTTAAGTTTCCTTTTCACCTTTTTTTAAATGTACAACTTGAGTTACTAGTCCTTATGCTTTAATTTAAATTTGCTTCTTCACAGAGATTTCTATAAATTTATGAATAACGAGATGGTTTTCATATTTCATATTGATTTTTCTGGTGATTACAGTAATAGCGGTGTCAAGGAAATAACTCTCCTTTTGACAAACCGATTTTTTTTTGGGGGGGTCGTTTGATTCGTTTTATGGCATATCAACTTCAATGGGTTATTTATTGCTGGTAATAATTTTTCCAAAAATGTATTACTGCTATGCTATTTTTCTTCAAAAATGTATTGCTGGTCAAAAATGTATTGCTGGTAAAATATTTTCTTCAAGAATGTATTGCTGGTAATAATCTTTCCTTCAAAAATGTATTACTGGTCAAAAAATGTGTTACTGGTAATATTTTTCTTCAAAATGGATTGCTGGTAATAACTTTTTCTTTCAAAAATGTATTGCTGGTCAAAAATGTATTGCTGGTCAAAAATGTATTGCTGGCAATAGATTTTCTCCAAAAATGTATTGCTGCTAATAATCTTTCCTTCAAAAATGTATTGCTGGTCAAAAAATGTGTTACTGGTAATATTTTTCTTCAAAATGGATTGCTGGTAATAACTTTTTATTTCAAAAATGTATTGCTGGTCAAAAATGTGTTGCTGGTCAAAAAATGTTTGCTGGCAATATATTTTTCTTCAAAAATGTATTGTTGCTAATAATCTTTCCTTCAAAAATGTATTGCTGGTCAAAAAATGTGTTACTGGTAATATTTTTCTTCAAAATGTATTGTGGGTAATAACTTTTTCTTTCAAAAATGTATTGCTGGTCAAAAATGTATTGCTGGCAATATATTTTCTTCAAAAATGTATTGCTGCTAATAATGTTTCCTTCAAAAATGTAATGCTGGTCAAAAAATGTGTCGCTGGTCAAAAATGTATTGCTGGTAATATATTTTCTTCAAAAATGTATTGCTGGTCAAAAATGTATTGCTCGTCAAAAATGTATTGCTGGCAATATATTTTCTTCAAAAATGTATTGCTGCTAATAATCTTTCCTTCAAAAATGTATTGCTGGTCAAAAAATGTGTTACTGGTAATATTTTTCTTCAAAATGGATTGCTGGTAATAACTTTTTCTTTCAAAAATGTATTGCTGGTCAAAAATGTGTTGCTGGTCAAAAATGTATTGCTGGCAATATATTTTCTTCAAAAATGTATTGCTGCTAATAATCTTTCCTTCAAAAATGTATTGCTGGTCAAAAAATGTGTTACTGGTAATATTTTTCTTCAAAATGGATTGTGGGTAATAACTTTTTCTTTCAAAAATGTATTGCTGGTCAAAAATGTGTTGCTGGTCAAAAATGTATTGCTGGCAATATATTTTCTTCAAAAATGTGTTGCTGGTCAAAAATGTATTGCTGGTCAAAATGTATTGTTGGTAATATATTTTCTTCAAAATGTATTGCTGCTAATAATCTTTCCTTCAAAAATGTATTGCTGGTCAAAAAATATGTCACTGGTAATATTTTTCTTCAAAATGGATTGCTGGTAATAACTTTTTCTTTCAAAAATGTATTGCTGGTCAAAAATGTGTTGCTGGTCAAAAATGTATTGCTGGTCAAAAATGTGTTGCTGGTCAAAAATGTATTGCTGGTAATATATTTTCTTCAAAAATGTGTTGCTGGTCAAAAATGTATTGCTGGTCAAAAATGTATTGCTGGTAATATATTTTCTTCAAAAATGTATTGCTGCTAATAATGTTTCCTTCAAAAATCTAATGCTGGTCAAAAAATGTGTTGCTGGTCAAAAATGTATTGCTGGTAATATATTTTCTTCAAAAATATATTGCTGGTAATGCATTTTTTAAATGTACAACTTGAGTTACTAGTACTTATGCATTTATTTAAATTTGCTTGTTCACAGATATCTCTATAAATTTATGAATAACGTGATTGTTTTCATATTACATATTTATTTTTTTATAAAATTATTAATTATAGTTCATATATTTTTAAAATCTTGTAAATGCAAAATTATGATTGCCAAAAAAGCAATCTAATAAATAAATAGCGTTTATCATATTTTTTGTCAAATCTCAAAAATATCTATGAATCCGCTTTCATACGTTTTGTTTTTTTAATATTTTAAACATCACATTTTAAAATTATAAATATTGACGAGGGAGTGACTGGTGATTACGGTAATAGCGGTGTCAAGGAAATAACTCCCCTTTTGACATGCCTATTTTGTTTTCATTCTTTGCTGTATAGGACGACAGATATTACATAGCAGTTGAGCAATAGTTTTCTAATAAAATGTCACTATTTCTTTATAACATTCTTTAAATCAAACACTTAAGACACTTTCCAGATATTTAAATCTCTGTACTTGCTTCATTCTGATATTTTCACTCTCACTAACCCGTTGTGTATTAGTGGCTTTATTGCCTTGTTTGGAATGAATTTTTTTTTTTAAATATCAGATTTTGCAAAAGAAAACTAGAATCCTTATTTCGTTAGAGGTACCGAATACAGGATGTCCCCCAAAAAAGTCTGCCACACTTTTCATAAACTGACCATTGATTCGAGGCTAGCAAGATTAACATGAAATTCCAATTGTAAATACTAAGAATAGCTTTTTCCATGATGATGTTTGAATGTATTTTCATTTTATTTTTTTTATTTTTAAAACTGTTAGGTTCATTTTTAAAAAATATATATCGTGTGTAATCTGGCTTATTCGGTTTGGTTTAGTTTATGTTTTACGGCATATCAACCTCAATGGGTTATTTAATGCCGACAAAATTGTTATTGCTGGTAATGTTTTTCTTCAAAAATCTTTTTCTGGGAATATTTTTCCTTGAAGAAATCTATAGCTGGTCATATTTTTCAAAAGAATTGTTTGCATTGCTGGTATTGTTTTTAAACTATTGATAATAATAATTTTCCTTCAAAAATTATTGCGAGTAATATTTTTTTTTATTACAAAGTATTTCTGGTATTAAAATCTATTTTTACACAAGATGGGTGTTAACTATTTGCCCATAGCTGGGACCCTAATAGGTGCTACCACCCCGGGCGAGGGTGAACCTGGGAACACCAGCAATTAAGAGGTGATTCCACGCTGCTCAAAACCTCCTGATCAGAGGCCTTGCTGTTGGACGTAGTTTATCGTCTTACCCGGGACGAGGATGTAATTTATCGTCATACCAATGACGTTGGCTTATTCGGGTTTTGGTAATTAGTGTGATTAAAATGTTTGCTCGATAAGAATCCAGGAAAATGAAGAAAAACATTTGTTTGTTTCCCTTTGATCTGATTTTTATTTGAAACGCAAAGTCGCCCTTCTCAGGGTCACTGTAGAATCACATTGAAGTTCTCCACAACACAAAAGTAACTTCGTCTTTGCCTGGGGTTCCATCTTCCTAACCCATCCAACTCAGCGCATTTGGTCCCTGAAATGGAGACGAAATTTTAGAGTTTGCGACACTTCCCTAAATGACCGTTCATTCGAAACTAGCAAGATTAACATAAAATCGCTTTTTACCGTGATGTTTTTGGGTGTACAGGGTGTCCCCTCAAAAGTTGGCATCATTTTAAAAGACATTATCTTTAAAAAAAAACAACTATGTCTAGCTCAAGGAAATTAAGCAGTTTAAGTGTTGAATATCATAAGTTTATCATGGAACCGATTTCATAAGTGTTCAATATATGCACCGCCTGTGACACGACACACATCAAGTTGGTAGTTAAGCTCTTGCCAAACACGTTGTAGCGTATATATCTTATGTAATCTGGTTTACTTGGTCCCCGTAACAAGTGAGATTGTATTTGCCCGATAAAAATATCAGGAAAAAGAAAGACGAATAATGTTTTTCTTCTTTTCCTTTTGTCTTATATTATTTAAAACGCAAAATCTCAACGGTTTAAACGAGTGTTGGTCACTGTAACATTTCATCGAAGCCCCTATCCTCCAAATGACTTCCTCTTCATTTGGCCTCCCATCTCCCTAACCCAATCAACCCCAGCGTATCTGGTCCCTGAAATGGAGACGTAATTTTAGAGTTTGCGACACTTTTTACTAAATGACCATTGATTCGAAACTAGCAAGATTAACATAAAATTCCAATTGCAAGTACGAAGAATCGCTTGATGTTTTTGGGGTGTACAGCGTTGGCATCATTTTAAAAGACATTATCTTAAAAAAAAAACTATGTCTAGCTCAAGGAAATTAAACAGTTTAGGTGTTGAATACCATAAGTTTATGATGGGACCGATTTCGTAAGTGTCCAATATATGCAACGCCTGTAACACGGCACACGTCAAGTCGGTAGTTAAGCTCTTGCCAAACACGTTGTAGCATGTCTCCGGTAACATTATCCATTGAGGAAGTGATTCTTTGCTTGAGTTCATCAATGCTAGCAGAAAGAGGAGGAAACATAGACGTCCTTTCACATATCCCCATAAAAAGAAATCAAACGGGGACAGGTCCGGTAACCGTGGCGGCCATTGCATCAGAAAACTGTCTTCATCTCCACCACTCCCTAGTGATCTTAAAAGTTTTAATTCAGTTTGTGAATTAAAAAAAAATGTTTAAAATATCGCCAAAAACTTTGTGAATTGAGGAAATCAGTTTTATTTTTTTCAAAATAA